TCAGCACTTCTTATTTTTCACATATGGCACATTTTGCTCTTAAAAGTATGAGAAATGAGCATTTCTTCATATTCCTGGACTTTTCCCAGGCTGCGCTGAACATGATTAAGGAACAATGAGTATATAAAAACCTAATAACAATAAAATTACCTTTATTTCTTTGTCAAATAATGTTTCCACCATGTGGGAGGAAACTACTCTTCCGGTTAGGCTGATGTTGGATCACTTGCAATGTAAATGTTGAAGTCCAAAAAATGTAAGAGGGACAAGAAGAGAGACAAATATTGTAACGGTTATTTTCATTTGACTCTAAGGAAGTCTCAGAAACCATGCAAATGTTTTATATTTTCATGAAAACACATGGTTTATGTTACCCATAAAAATGCATCTTGAAAACAAATAAAAGCAATATGTTTGCATAAGAAAAGTTAATTTTAATTAGGCTGGTTACATACCTTTTAACAAAATTGGTGGCAAATTATGATAGCACTGCATGACTCTATAACTCATACATCTGAGAAATGTTGCCTTTCCTAATGGAAATGGAGTAAAATCTCATTCCTTTACCATAAGTTGCACAGCATGTTGGATGAACAATATAGTGATTGTCTCCTGAGAATTCATTGTAAAACAGCTCCAGATTTGGTTTGGTGATCTCAGTGCTGGCTGAATAACACCAGCCTTCCAGTGCTCCAAGTGCTGACATGTGGGGTGAGCAGACTTTAGGATATGAAATGCCTTCTCTGTGATACTGAAGGAAATTGGTTTTTGGACTCCATTCATTCATGAAAAGACTGATGCTGAATGGAGTTTACATTTATTGTCTATGAAAACCCTGAGTTAGCTGAAATCTCTTGAAGCATGCACTCACACATGTATTCTCTCACATTTAGCAAACTCCCCATGATATAAAGTAGCTGGCTGCAGTCTTTCAGCCAGGACTAGACAACATTAAAGTTGGCTTGAAAAGTTGCATGCACATTAACACCATCTCTTACATTTTACAAGAGACTGCATTCAAGCAGTCTTTATGCTTGGATTGTCTGGACACTGACAAAGTGGAAAGGAGCGGCAGAAAGAAAAAAGCCTTTCTGTCAGTCACTAACTCTGCATCAAATTCTCCCTCCCTGTATGCTGCCATTGCACAGAAAAGGAGCAAAAAAAAAAAAAAAAAAAAAAAAAAAAAAAAAACCAGTCAAAAATCAAAGTAGTGATAATTCCTTGTTTTTTTATTTATATTATTCCTTATAAAAAAAACCCAAACCATTTTTTTTTTCTAAGACTACTGGTACACGTGTGCTATCTTCTGGTTTATTCACTTTTTTCTGAATTAATACTTTAAAAGATTTTAACTTTTTCTTCATCAACTGACTAGAATGAGTAAATGAAGTGTTTACGGTTGTGATAGCTCTTGTGACTTGGTACATGAAATTTCCCCAGATTTCTGTGGGAAATCTTACCTGCTCAGCTGAAAGCTTGCAAATGAGTGATAGTGCTAGTTGAAAAATAATTCTCTCATACATATATTTTCATGTCTGCAAAAGCAGGAGCTACAAGAAAAACTTTTCATGCACCTACCCTCCCCAGTACTCTCTGAAACTTTATGTTTCTCATATTTTTTTCTTCTTTCATTCTTTTGCTTTCTTTTCTACATTTTTTTCCAGTGAAAGCACATGGGAACAAGTAAGAGGAGAGAGAGAGCTGGAGGGGGAGAGGGAGGAGGTGATAGAGTTTCACAGGGAGGTAAGGTTTCAATCCAACAAAAAGGCTCCTTAGATTCTGCATTAAATAGTAAAGCCTACATTAACACTCCACTGGTTTGTAGTGAATGAATGTATGTGCCAGCACTTGCACCTCTTACTCAGAGTACTTCAATAGCTCGCTCATCTCCATCTGAGTCTCTTGACAGGGGATTTCTCTCACAGCATCACCTTGTGCAGCAGCGTTATGTTCAGCCTCCTGAGTCTTGCTTCTTGTGCTCAGGTCCAAGAAGCGTGTCCCTGACTCATCCCTCCAACTCAACACACTGCACTGGGCTATCCTTGTACTGACTGCATTGCAACAACCTCTAATCCTGCAGGTCCACTGCTCTCCTTGTGATTCTGCTGGGCTTCCTTGTATTTCTGAGGATCCAAAAGAACCCAGGAAAGCTTTACCTGTAGGTTGGCAAAAACAGCACAGTTATTCACTGATCACACAAAGTATGGACAACACCAAGCTGAGTGGCAAAGTTGGTATACTAGAAGGAGAGAAAGGATGCAATCCAGGGTGACATGAACATGCTTGAGAGTTGGACCTGTGGGCCTGTGCAAACCTCATGATGTTCAAAAAGGCCAAATGCTATGTTCTGCATCTGGACTGGAGCAATTCTAAGCACAAATACAGTATGGACAGAAAACAGATAGAGGGCAGCTCTAAGAAGGACTTGGGAGTGTTGGTTCATAAGAAGCTCAACATGAGTTGTCAATGTGTGCTTGCAACCCAGAAGGCCAACTGTGGCCTGGGCTGCACCAAAGGAAGTATGGCCAGCAGATCAGTTAGGTGATTGCCCCTTCTGTTCTGCTCATGAGAGACCACTGGCAGTATTGCATCCAAGCCTGGGGCCCACAGCACAAGTAAGATGTGGAGCTGTTGGAGTGAGTCCGGAGGAGGACTACTAAGATACTCAGAGGGCTGGAGCACCTCACTTATGAGGAAAGGCTGAGGGAGCTGGGTTTGTTCAGCTCTGAGAAGGCTCCAGGGAGACCTCATTGTGGCCTACAGGAAAGCTGGAGAGAGACTTTTTACAAGGGCACTCATAGTGATAGGACATGAAATAAGAGAGTAGATTTAGATTAGATACAAGGAAAAAATTCTTCACTCAGAGGATGGTGAGGCATTGGCACAGGCTGCCCAGAGAAGCTGTGAATGGCCCATCCCTGGAGGCATTCAAAGCCAAGTTGGATGGGGCTTTGATCTGGTGGTTAGCAGCTCTGTTCACAGCAGGGGGTTTGGAACTAGAGGATCTTTAAGATGCTTTCCAACTCAAACTATTCTGTGATACTATGAAAGATGACTTGGACACCTTTTCACCCACTGTGGTCTCTGTGGGATCCCCTGGGGTCACTGCCAGTCCCAGGGATGGACAACCTCAAGCCCCAGCACAAAACTCTGTATCTCCAGCCCCAGCTTTAAAGATTTGGTGAGGACAACTGAGGAGTGATCAATATGTCTCAGAGAAATGTAGAAAGGTGAAAAGGGCGCCTTCAAATTGAGCTAGGGTTGAAAGGTAGTAGATGTGTGCTAACTGCAAGCAATATAGCTCAGGGAAATATATTAAAATGAAGATTGTTTTTCTGAAGAGACTTGCAGAATAACTGACAGTATCTTCAAACTGTGGAAAATACCCTTCAACAGAAGGCAGGTTAGACTTAAGGAGAGGGTATCTAGGTGTCTCTGAACTGTCACAGACAACAGGGAGCTACTGCATAATTTTTCAAGTGTTAGCAGCAGAAGAATATGCTTTTTCTGAATCCCAGGACTTTGTCAAAACTAATTTCCTGTGTTGATGTTGGGGTAAAGCATACAAAATAGCCAGCCTGGCAGCTACAGAAAAATGAGGATATTTGAAAAAGGATATGCTTTTTATTTACTCTAAGTGACGGATATTGGCTGAAATGTGAAAAGAAATAAGGGGAGAAAAATGTGCTTTGCTATACTATTTTTTCTCTGTGCTGTGCATTTTCTGCCTGCCTACTTATATATTCTGGAGAAAGTATGCCTAGGAATTCAATTTTTTTGAAGATTTTTTCTGTTGTCACTGCTTTTTCTTTGCAGTGCTAGTGTCTAGAGCACTGTGCCAAGCTACATGTAAGATTCACTGCACCTGTTCAGATTAAGGGTCCATGCAGATGGGTATCTGATTCCGTAGATCCATCATCCTCAACTTCAGAAATCTTGATTTTGTGCCAAGATTCAGCTAGCATCAATAGCAAGGAGTTCAGTAGCATGAATATGTGAATTCAATATCACAACTTACATCAGAAAACAGGAAAAATGACACCAGGTAACAGAGCTGACCTCTGAGGGCTGAGTCTAAACGTGGTGGTTCATCCTCTGTTTCCCTCTACCTGCACAGAAGTAGGCTCTTAACTTGTCTGCAATTAACACTACAAGAGATTATTACCCCAGGCCTTGGTAGTGCCCCATGAGGATGCTGAATATGAGATTACAAGAATTAAAAAATGTAGAGCAAATTTTTCCAAAGTGTACATTCTCATTTTCCCCGTGTCAAAGACCTGGGCTTTGAGGCTGTCTTCATATACCATGTTAACTCCTCCACAACTTTCTCAGCTTTCTTAGCTCATTTATATTTTCAGCTACCCCAGCATCTGGCATCAAGATGTCTTACCCTTCAGTTCAGTATCGCATAAAAGAGCATTACTTTCGTTTTAAATGCACTATCTGATGAGTTCACTCCTGCTTTCCTGTGCTGTGATAACTATCGGCTCATTGTATCTGCTTTTCTGTCTAGTACATAGAGTTCCAGCAAAGAAAAAAAGGCCACACTGCCTTTACATGAAGGGAGCTCTTGCATGGTTGGCATTGTCAGAAGTGAACAGTGAGTTAAGTGCCTTGCTCTGGAGGCAGACCTGAACAGCTCTAGCTGTACTTTTTGGCTTGTGCCTTTGTCTTCTGGTTGTTCTGTCCTGACGCAAAGGGCAAGAAAGAGAGCTTTCTTTCTCCTACTGCCTCTGTGCAGGCAGTTGTAACAGCTGGTCAGAGATCTGAGGCTGCTATAGGAAAAGGTAGGGCCTCCTTCTCTGGCCCTGGTAAGGAAGAACGTGTTGTGAGCTTACCCAGAAGATTGCTATTTATTTTCAAGCAGGTTGTTGGGTTTGTTCGTTTTCAAAAATCAGCTTTTGAGTAGTGAACTTAATTTGATCCTCATCGTAAGTAATTCTGAAGGATACCTGTGCTCATAAGTGTGCTAATACCTCTCTTTCTCCTTCCTCCCATAGGATTTTAGATAATGGGCTGTGTGCAATGTAAGGACAAAGAGGCAACAAAACTGACTGACGAGAGGGATGGGAGTTTAACACAAAGCTCAGGCTACCGCTATGGCACAGATCCCACGCCACAGCACTATCCAAGCTTTGGTGTGACTTCAATTCCAAACTACAACAACTTCCATGCCACAGGAGGCCAAGGACTGACAGTGTTTGGTGGAGTCAATTCCTCCTCTCATACAGGGACGCTGCGTACAAGAGGAGGAACGGGTGAGTTTCAAAGTCTTGCTTTGGTGCACTTGTTAAGTATCAATCACATTATCATGCCAGGGTCACAGCTGTCTTGGCATGCTTTGGGGAAAAGTTACCTCATTAATTACTGCAAAGATTGAACTTGGAGCGGAGCTGGTTCTTCATCACTACCTCACAAGCTTGCAGATGGTAGTTCACTTAGGGGATGAGAAATTATGTGTACATGTCCAACTGACTACTTCATCCCTCTATCAGGGAATGGAAAGTGTGGTCTAAGCCACTTCAAGCGGTTAATAAGACATTTTTCATGTAGATATGTCTACACTCTCTTCAAAACCCCCCTGCCTATTTGAAATGATTGCATTGTGTGTGGCCACCAAACCAAGAGGACTGCTAACTCTACAAACTGAAGGAGATGGTATGCCCACTGGCTGCATAAAAAACACGAGGATTAGCAGGAGGTGATAGCAAGAGGCTTCAGTTTATTTTGCTCCTCAACACTTGAAATGGCTTACATTTGGCTTAGCCACCTGGCCTCCTGAGGCTCCTTTCCCTTCTGATTTTGGTGATGGAATGTAACTCACTTATCTTCCTCTTCAGGTGTAACTCTTTTTGTGGCGCTTTATGACTATGAAGCAAGGACAGAAGATGACTTAAGTTTTCACAAAGGAGAAAAATTTCAAATTCTTAACAGCTCGTAAGTTTTAGGCTTGGAAATATGCTTTTTAATATTTTGAAACTTACAATGTTGACAATTATTTGTCTTCCTACATTATTTGTAAAATACAATGTTGGATATTCGAGATATGTAAGGATTTTATTCCGCTTATTTACTTGCCTTTGCTTTTAAAGTGTTTTATTTTAGAGAAACAAAAACTCAACCACATGCAGCTTTACTTCAGAAACAAACATTTGTTACACATTCAGAACTGAGAGTACCAGTTCTGAGCTTTACCAGAAGTAACAGAAATTCTGCAAGACTTGTACTAGCACTTTCTACAAGCTGATGCAAGTGTCTGCACAGGAACAAGCTAAAAACCAATTCACAAAGGAGAAATTGCACAGACTTGCATGTCAACATAGGTTTAAAAGTCATAGTTCTTTTAAAGTAGGTGATATAATCTGAGCTTGCTAGTAAGTGAAATGAAAATGCATCACGGCACAGTTGCATTTCACATGAAAGCCACATTTTCATCCTGGAAATCATCGACTTAAAATTAATTTTATTAACTGTCCAGAGGAAAAAAAAATCCCAAAGCAATTTAAAAATAACATCTGAAAATTACTGTGCTATTGACCTATATCAGAACATCTTGTAATTTTTGGCTCAGAACTTAAATTTGAAGGCTAAGTATTACATTCAATATTGCTACCATGTATGGGCAGAAATGGGTTAACCACCAGTTTTTAGAGGCTTTTTGATATTTTTCTCATTTTTATTTCTTATGCTGTGTGACAGTGAGGCAAGTTCACCCCTGGTGCAGCTCCTGTTCATTTTAATAGAACAACTCCAAGGTTGGAGTTGGTTCAATGTGAATTAAACTTAAAAAAAAATAATTTTAAATCAGGTAATTCTGTGGAATATTTCATGAAGCCACGGAGCTGAAGAGCTTTGATGTAGATGAAAGCACAGAAACTTCAGTTACAACTTGTAGAGAGAGGAGCAGTTTAAAAAGCTCTCTACTTTTAAATTACCCCTTAGAAAAAAATCTTTTTTAACCTATTATCCCTTTTTTTTCATGTTGCCTGCTGCTCTCCCAATGTTATGTGAACTGTGCCTTAACTTGAAATGAGCAGATAATGCATGCATTATAAATTCTTTACACGTACCAGTTGATGAAACTAGGGGGTGCTCACAGGGACTTGTGATGCAGTGACACTTGGAGTCAGTGGGACAGAGAGATTGCAGGTCATTGCAGTGCAGGCATTTTGATGCAAGTACTTAGTGCCTGGAGGAAGGTTACTTAAGAGAAAAAAAAAGAAAAAAAGAAAAAAAATCAAGCATCTAGTGACTCTCCTGTAGGGATTTAGATGCCCAGCTCAGCCTACTCTGCTTATAACCACTGGACCTAACCACGCCTCTGGAGTACTGACAGCAAGACTGGGAATCTCCAGAGGACAGCTTTTCTGTGAGAATGCTTCATCTCTTCACCTCTATCAGAAAAAAACATGAAAGCAGCCCATTTCTTTAGAGTCTGCCACTGCTGCTTGCAACCAGGAAGCACAGAAGTGCACTAAACCAGTTTTTCAGGAATTTTTATAGGGGTCGGGTTTTTCGTAAGTCTGATCAAATGAAATTTGATTTGTGCTTTGGGTGAAAAGTTCAGGTCAGCAAGACCTGAACAGAGGCATACAGAGGGTACCCCTGCACTTTAGTGTCAGGAATGGTGCATTTCTGGAGTGGTTTGGAGCAGAGGCTGACTTCAGAGCCCAGAAACACCCCACTATCACCATCTCCACTGCCACTCCTGCACGCCGTGCTCTGACTAGCTCCATTGAGTAGTCTTATCCTAACCTGGGTTTGTCAGGTGGGTGTCTAAAATTAGAAGCTGTGAAAAAAAAAAGATAGTATTCTTCCTCCTTTCTGGCAGTGTTTTGAGAGATTTTAGGTTTCCCTGCCAAAGCAGAGGGGGGTGTTCTTGTTCTGATGTAGGGCACGTCTTTTTCCCTCCCTAGATACGATGAGATACCTCCATCTAGTGGACTGTCTGTGCAGTAAGGAAAAGAAATGTGAGCTAGTGATAATGGTACAGTTCTGCCGGCTGTTTCTAACTGCTGTGAAGGAGCTGGACTGTTTATCAACCATCATATGGCATAATCTCTCAGAAATCAACTACAGCAGCATATGGTAGTAGTGTTAGCACTTCAGCTGGAAAAGCTAGGAACATAAACAGGGCCATTTGTCTGACAAGCTAATGCACATAATATGTATCAAAATGGTGACAGCTGCCAGCATCTAGAAAAGTTAGTTCTTATTCACTTCCTGAGCTGTAGAAATGGAACCATTATTTTTTGATCCATCACAACTGTTTTCTTGTTGTTTTCCATATTCTTTCAAGCTGTTAGAGAAAGTGGAGTTGAAAATGTAAAGAGCTCACCTTCACACAGCCTTTCCTACCTACTTCTAATAGCTCAGTCAGTGTGATTTCTGTGACTGCTTGCTTACTGAAGAGGCTGAATTTTCTGTCCAGGTTTGATAAGTTCTGATTATGTTTCAATTAGTGACAGAGAGAGAAACTGAGAATTAGTTTCTAAGCAGTCCAAAAATAGAAAAGAGAATGTTTGTTTCTAGCAATAAGAGTTAGACATTAGTGAATCTAGTGCTGAGAACTAAATAATACTAAGTGCTAAATTCCTAATCATTGCATCCTGTAAAATGCTAAGCAATAAACATCTGTTAAAGCTGTGAGTTCTACAACAATGTGCAGTGTCTGAAGGACAGTTCTGTATCTGACTGTACACACAGTTTGTTTTAAGATATCTCCACTAGGTGACCAAGAGAAGGAACCTAAAGGATGAAGCGTTATCTTTAAGGACAGTCTAAAATTCCATGCTGATAAACGTTTTTTGATGTCTTGGAGTTTCAGATGGATTATGCTTGTGGAAGTTTGAATGCCATGTTAGAATCAGCAGTGGATATGACAGAGTTCTATTTGGCAGTTTTCCTATAAGCTCTCTCAAGGGTCTGTATTAGAATAATTGCTATGGAGACAGTTTTCAATACTCTAGTCCAAATTCAACCATAACCAAACCTGCCATTATGGTCTATTCAGAAGGCTGCATTACTAATCACTACTGAAATAATAATAGGTGCAAAGAAATATGTAGATTTTTGTGGTTGATATGCAAGCAGCTCTCTCCAAAGTACACCCTGACACAGAGAGGAGCTGCTAAGAATTCTACCACCTGCCAGTTCTGTTAGCAGTCAGATCACTGACCCTACAGCTCTGTCTCTCCCTCACTTTTCCTCACCTTTCTTTCTGCAGGGAAGGAGACTGGTGGGAGGCTCGGTCCCTGACAACAGGCGAAACTGGTTACATTCCCAGTAATTATGTGGCTCCAGTCGATTCCATCCAAGCAGAGGAGTATGTTTTCTTTTCACCATAAAGACCCATTAGTGCTGTTTTAGAAGGGGATTTGAGCTTGTTTTGATGGATTGCAGTGATTTTTCAAATGCCTTACATTATTTTTATTTCAGTTCTTGACTGCACTGATAAATAATTAGGTAATTAGTAACAAAAGAAGCACAAGCTCAGTGTTTTTTCAATGTCAAAACAAAGAAAGAAAACCTTAAGGAATGCTGGTCTGTTTCCTTTATTCAAGTGTCGACTAATTTCAAGAGAAATATGCCCTCACTTTTCCTGAAACAATTTGCAAAAAATGTTTGAAGTCAATTAGTGTGCAGACTATCTCTTAAACATGTTATCAACAAATACCTTCCAAAAGGTTGAAAGCCTACTAAGCATACAGTAGGCAGCATAATGAGACATTTATATGCAAAAAATAGAGTGATGTGTGTATCCATATTATTTCCAGTGTCAAAGGTATGTTGGAGTATCTCATGAGTCTGCATATGGCAGTGGCACAAAGCATGGTTTGTGGGCATTTATATGTCATCTGAATCAGTTCTGCAGAAGGCCATAGATTCTACTGTTGTGCTACTGCAGTCTGTACCCTTGGTTACTTTTTCTGTAGCCCACTGACATTTTTCTGATAACTGAGTTATAAGGATACCAAGTATCATCATCTGGAACAGCTTTGTCTTGTTTATGAAACTCCAACCAACCAACCTACCAACCAAAAAAAAGAAAAAAAAAACCCACCAAAGAACAAATAAACAAAACAAAAAAAAAAAAAAAAACAACAGAAAAACTACCAATTAATAGTGGCAGGAAGGAAAAAGGTATTGAAACTGTGAAAGTCTTATAGAACCACAGTAAAATGGTTACAATTGGTCCTTCTGCTGAGGTTTTATAGCTGCACTGTGCAAAAAATATTGAATGCTGAACTGTCACTTTGTAAGTCAAATATGTAGTTTATAGAAATATCTATAAAAATACAGTTCTTCAGCAGCAGTGCATTTTTCTGATTTCTTCCTTGCCCATTCCTTCCCCACACCAAGTCTTGCTGTCTATCCAAATCTGGCCTTTGTCATAAGACACTGAACAAGTATTCTCAGCATGTGCTCATTATAGGCTTAATGCTATTGCACAACATATGCAGCACCTACTCCACAGATCTGTCTCTTTACTGCCCCACCACAATGAAAGTACGACCAGTGGTTGAAAGTACGACACATTACGACTATGGTGGTTGAATGCTCTTGAGTACTTATGGTATCCACAAATAATCTACCGTGTCTGAGCTCTGTGACACTAACTAGTAATCCTATGTAGCATTTCTCTTACTATTTCCAATCTTTCCATAAGGTGGTACTTTGGCAAACTTGGCCGAAAAGATGCTGAGAGGCAGCTGTTGTCATTTGGAAACCCAAGAGGTACCTTCCTGATCCGGGAAAGTGAAACTACCAAAGGTAAGCTGGCCAAAGTTTTTCTGACTATGAATGTGAAGACATATGAGGGGAAAAAAATCATGCTGAGTTTGTCAAATACTGTGTCCGGTGCTAAAAGGTAGAGAAAATGTCATGTTGCAAGTATATATGCTAGGGAATTAGATGTCTGGAAAATTCCCAAGTTATGGAGTGAGTGCTTGAAGCAGAGAGCAACCCAAGAACATCTCATGCCAAGTTAAACCCATGGCACCTGCAGTTTAAGTCATGCTCAGGCAGGTGCTCTGCTGCTGCACTCTGAATGTCGTGCTGCCTCTCTGGCCACCTCCACAATGATGTTGGGTGGACACAGGTCCCTCAGAACAGTGCTGTGGGACTTCAGGAAAAAGGGCTCCTGGTGTCCAAAGTCAGGTCCAGACAGAGCCAGGGAACAGACAGACTAGGAATAGATGATGGGATTCAGCAGTGTAGTCTGGGGAAAATTCCTTCAAAACAAGCAGCATGTCTGGATCTTCTTGGCCACAAGATGTAAGGCACAGTGCGTGAGGGAGGAAGGTACTGATTATTATTTTGGGAAGATCAGGATTTGTTGTAATCATTCCCCCATTAAATTGCTGAACCCCTGGGGGGGGAGGAAAAGAAGAAAGAAAGAAGATGCAGCAGTATTAAATCTATAGATAAACAGCAGGAATACCTGAATATTTCTAATTTAATAATGCCTGATAATTTAATAATACCTTCTAACCTTCTAATACCTTCTAACTTTTAATAATACCTTCTAATTTAAATAATACCCGAATATTTCTAATTAATACATTCAGAAGGTAATGAACTGTATGCATTCTGATGAATTTAAGTGGAAGGATGTGCTCTCCTCCTCTCCTCTAAAAATAGTAGAGGTGTTCCTGTTTTGTTGGTGGGTGTTATCATTGTTTTTACATTTCGTTTGTGAGGCCCGTCAACATCTTCTTCAAAATTTCCAATGTATGGAAAGATCTCTCTAACTCATGCAACCATTGAGGAGAAAACATGCAACTAACTGAAAAAAAACTTGGCCATTTCTCAATTAACCAGCAGCTGTGGAAAGCATAAGTCACTAGAATTAAGTTCTGAAGTCTAACAATGGCTCATGTAATTAAAACACTGAGTTGTCAGTGCTTTGATCTGAGCACAGTTCATCAGCTAGTGTTAGCATGCAAGGCAGTTGGAGTCACAGCTGGAAAAGGACTTAAGGAAGCACCACTTCCCCCTCTTCTCTGTCTGACCTAGCTTCAGGTGCTGCATTCTGTCACCTAAAGGTGTCAGTTTTAGCATTTTGCCTCCTGCAGTCACTGAACTCCTTCATAATACTTAATGCTGAGGACTGTTAATGATACAAAACAGGCTGTTGTTTCAGGCGGCTGATGTCCCATCCTGCCACTCCACAGCTTCACCATTCCTTATGCAGCAGGGAGGCACTAGAACCAAGACATGATCTAACTTGCTCTTTTTCTGCAAATAGCCTCCACCTGTCTGTTTTCAACAGCAGTTGTTGTGTATGTGAGGAGCAGGGCTTCATTCCACTCTGTGCTGAGTTGAAGACTTCTCTAATACAGGCATGGATCCTAAAAACACACACAGTATTGCTTCTCTAAACCATGTTATCAGTTTAGTCTGTTTTGACTTTATTTACACAGTGATAGGGGATACGTTTTGCGAAACTGCTTACGTATCTAAGTCAGGATTTTTCCTAGAGCTTTTAGTGAGGCACAAAAGCACTGAGGAAATGGAGTAATCCATCCATCATGGCTGGGTTTATAGCAGAATATCAGCTTATACCTGAATTTCTCTGCATTAAGGCTTAAGGCTTTCTACATCTTCAGCTACTGGAAGAAACACAGCATGGATATTTATTGTCACACCTGTTTCCCTTCTCATCTTTGTGGAGCATATGTTCTTAAAAGAGAAAAAAGAAAGCTTGTTGTTAATGGGAGAAAAAAAATCAGCTGGGAGGAGTGCATGGCACATTCTCCAGTAAGCCTTCTCGAAGTGCCATGCCCCAGCTAGTCATCATGGGCTTCAGACAGGAATGGTTTGGTGACCTAGACTTGCCCCTTCTGCTTTAAATTATAACAAAATAAAATTAATCAGAATCATGTTAAAAGTATCATCGTGGTTGACTTCAGCATAAATTTAACCTCTCTTCATCATGATCGCCTTCTCTCCTTACTTCCAAAATAAATCAGAGTTGACTTTCTGTCTCCCTCAGTGCCTCACTACCCAGATAATTCATCAGCTCTTGTCCATATAATCCTTCACCTGGTTTCAATCTCTACCCTTGAATACTGTCTGGCTTTAGGTTCGTTTTTTTTAAAAGTTAATTAGTGTGATATATTGTAACGTATTTCTAGCCATATTTTTACTATGCATATCATTTATACTTTAATCTATCAGCTGACAATAGTAGTCTAAATAATCAATAGTCTAAATAAGTGAATAATAAACTCCACCTTGGTTCTTGGTTTTGTCCAAATTTGAATTAAATCACCAGTCATGCAATTTGATCTGAGGTCAGCGGAGGTCCGCAAGGGGCCACCCATGCAGATCTAGTTGCAGACCTGGAGCCAAAGATTGTTTACTTTTTCCTAAAGAATCTAAAAGAGCAACCAGATAGACAGAGAGTGTGACTAAGAAAATACAGCTGCTGCTGTATTTGTGGATGAAAACTCACAAATGCAGAAGTGGAGAACACTGCCTGTAAGATTTTGACAGTAGGCTGACAGTGCATAAGTAGCAGTGTTGGTGCAAAGCATGCACAAAATTAGCTTGCAAATCTCCCAAAAGCTTTGAACTCCTAGCTTGGAGTAATGTACTTACTCAGTGGGAGAATCTCTTCAGAAAAATAACCTAAACAGAAGGTATTTTTCTACACCTAGAAATAAGATTCCTGCCACTTCTCTTAGGGTTTCCCGTTCACATAGAACAGAATCATCTCTGTAAGTGCTGTCTCTTTCCTCCTGTTTAGAGGATAAACAGCAGAGAATTTGAGATGTCTTTGGAGTCAGAGTGGAGTTTTGTTCCCTACTGCAGCTGCATTCACTGGTGAGCCATTTACCAGTGTGACTTCTTGCAGTTTAATGTGGTGAGAATAATTTTAGAATCCCATAAAACTTCCTCTTGGGGAGACATCCAAGGAAGATATTTTTTATCAGGAATCTCAACCATGTAATTACGGGAACTTTTAAAAACTATTTCTCTGGAGGTGATTCTAGAGGATGTGAATCTGTCATATGCATTGAGAAATACTGTGATTTGGATAAGCAGCAGTCAGTGCCATCGGACCTGTAGGAAATCATTCTATCTTTCAGGGTATCCAGAATTGTCTGCTGGTGATTTTCCTTCCCTGCCCTCAGCTGCAATGATGACCTGTGCAAGCAGCACAAGCTTCAGAAGGACTTTCCTAAGACCTCTGCAGCTGCCATCTACCTCTATATTTTTATTCTGATCCCTCATTTACCTTTGAGTAAACACAGTATCCATCTGAGTGCTGAGTAGGAGACGTTGCTTCTTCACTATATTTGAAATGGCATCGTTTTTGCCTAATATGGAAAACTGTATTAGGCTGTAAAGTGTGGCTTTGTCTTTGGAACTGTTGAGAAACAACATGTGGGTGTCACTGTTGCCTAGAATAGGACAGTCCATGGACCAGAGTCTATTAAAACACTGGAACATGCAGATACCCATGCTGCTGGCCCAGCTCCCCTTACAGTAAGTGGGAGCTGAGGTTCAGTTCAGTTGCCTGTAACTGCAGGCACTTCTTGTTCAAACCTGCCTCAATATCTACAGAGCTGTAGCAGTCATGGAAACTGGGCTGGGATTCAGCTGCCTGAATAGCACCTTTGCTGGGAGTATGTAAATCAAGCCCATAGCACACCTGCAAACAGTTCCTGCTACGCCTAAAAGCAAATCCAGCCCCTAAACTGAGGTTCCTTTCCCTGGCTATGAGCACTTAGAGCCTTTTGAAATGCCTGCAGGGTGTCTGTATGGAATGGACAAATGTGGATAAACTGCTACCAAGTGTGATGTTCTGGGGCATTTCACATGGCACTTCCCCTGTCTTTGGGCATCTGAATCCCACCAGTAAGCACTAAAGCTCCAGCATGGATTTGGGAAGTGAAATGTGCAATTCTTGAAGATCTTTTAGTGCACAGTGTTAGTGTAGTGCAACCTTCTTAAGACTGTGATGTGCAAAGTATTGTTATTCAGTGTTT